CAATGGTTTCCAACCTAAGAGGAAGGCTTCACTTACGGAAGCTCATTTGGTTGTGGTACAAAGGAGGGCCCCGTGTCTTGTGATGCCCTCTTGTGGTGAAATTAGACAGGATTGCTGTCTCTTCTGTCGTACAAACATAATTGTTTACTTGGGCTTTTTCTTAATTGTTCTTCTGCTTACTAGTTACCCTGGTTTTTAATTAATTGTTTTTAATTAATTTTATTTTCCTGCATTATTTTGAGCTACTGGTTTTACTGTATGTTACTACTGTAAACATTTTAAAGTTTTTTTAATTAAAAGCCATATGAAAGTGTTCTTAAATAAATAAAATGAAATAAATATTCAGACTCTGAACAACCACTAAAGCAAACACAGAATAATAAAACTGTAGCATTGGCAGTACTCCTAAGAGTCACATAATCCAATAATTTACAATGACAGGAATCCACAGCTAAAACATCCTTAAAAGATGGATACCTACTGTACATTCTGCCTAAAAGTCTCAATGGAAGAAAAGTCTTTCAGAGGTAGTCTGGGTCACTGTTAAACAATTATTAATGTCAGGATAGAAGCATGGAACTGACATTTTATTTCTTTATGTTTGTTATGTGTTGTCAAGTCAGAAGGAACTTGTAGCAACCCTCATAAGGTTTTTCAAGGTAAGTGAGATATTTAAGGAATGATTTTACTAGTTCCCCATCCCCAGTGAGCTTCCATGGCTGAGTGGTATCCATATAAAACAGGGGTCTCCAAACATTTTACCCTGAGGGCCAGACTGGATACTTTCAAAATCTTAGAGGACTGAAGGAACAGGAACATGTGCCTGCCTGCACTCACCCCCTGCTCACCTGCGCATACAGACACATGCATGCAACTCCCCTACAGATGCCTCCACACGCATGCATGGATGCTCCCCTGCCCACAGAACTGGCTGGATAAAACAGCAAGGCAGGCCAGATGTGGCACGTGGGCCATAGTTTGGAGACCCTGATATAAAATATGCAATAGGCAAGATATACCTCTCTCCAACCCTCTCATGGAGGCAGCTTCTAGAGAAACTGGCCATGGGGAAAAGGGGACTGTTGGTTCTGCTGGATTTCTCAACAGCTTTTGATACCATTGACCTCCTGGCCCATCTCTGTGGGATGGGGCTTGGAAACACTGTTTTACAGTGGCTCCATCCTTCGTGAAGAAAAGAACCCAGAAGGTAGTGCTGGGGGACTCCTGTTCAACACCCTGGCCACTGGACTGTGGAGTCCCTCAAGGTTCTGTTATGTTTCCTATGTTATTTAACATGTACATGAAACCTGTGGGGTCAGGTTCTGTTATGTTTCTTATGTTATTTAACATCTACATGAAACCACTGGAAGAGACTGTCCAGAGACTGGGGGCTTGGGGTCACTAGTATGTAGATGATACCCAACTCTCTCTCTCCTTGCCATCTAAATTTGAGGAAACTGTTTTGGCTTTAGGGTTTTATAGGTTAGAACCAGCACTCTGAATTGTGCCGAGAAAGGAGGTTCTGTTATGTTTCTTATGTTATTTAACATCTACATGAAACCACTGGAAGAGACTGTCCAGAGACTGGGGGCTTGGGGTCACTAGTATGTAGATGATACCCAACTCTCTCTCTCCTTGCCATCTAAATTTGAGGAAACTGTTTTGGCTTTAGGGTTTTATAGGTTAGAACCAGCACTCTGAATTGTGCCGAGAAAGGGCCCAACATTGTCTGATGTCAGTAATGGACTGAATGAGGATGAATAAACTGAAACTAAATCCAGATAAGACAGAGATGCTCCTGGTCAGTCAAAAGGCAGATCAAGGAACAAGCATGCTGCCCTCTGAAAACAAAGATGCTCAACTTGGCAGTGCCTCTGGATTCATATCTGAATTTGGATGTCCAGGTTTCAGCACTGGCCAGCAGTGTATTTACATAATTAAAACTAATGTTCCAGCTACACCCATTTCTGGAGAGGTCTAATCTAGCCACAGTGACACAAAACTTAGTTATATCCTGTCTGGATTACTGTAACACACTCTACATGCAGCTATTGAAAGTATCAGGAAACTTCAGTGAGCCGCAGCATTCAGATTGCTAACTGATGCTGGTCACAGGGATCACATAACCTGTTACAGCAGCTCCACTGGCTGCCGAGTTGTTTCTGGGCACAATTCAAAGTGCTGGTTCTAATCTATAAAGCCCTAAACGGCTTGGGCCCAAGCTATCTCAAGGACTGTACATATCTTCCTTTATGATCCTGCTTGAGTGTTACGATAATCAAGAGAGGCTTTTATCTTGGTCCTGCTACCTTCCCAGATGTGTCTGGTAGATATATGAGAGGGGGCTGTTCCCATCTTTTTTGTCCTTCTACAAGCAGGCATATACCTTTTTCTTCAGGCAAATTTTCCCTGACTGAACGGCTGCCATGCAGTGTTTTTAAAATGGATTGTTGTAGCTTACACAATGAATGTTATTTTGGCATTGCTTATGTTTTTTTAGTGTGGTATTCGTTTTATTATTTTTAGTATTTGTATACCCATTGTTGTTAGCTTTAAATACTATATTTTAATGATGCAAGCCACCTTGGGCTCTTTTAGAGGAGAAAAGCAGGGGAAAATATTTAAAATAAATAACCCAAGAATGGCAGCCAGAATCCTGATATTTATCCATGTCAGCAAAAGCCAGATACTGTACATAACTCATAGCAGGAAATTGCCACTCATTAAGGAGTAAAGACTTGTATTTTTTGTTGCACATTAGATCACATGACTGGAGCATGACAAGAAATACGAGCTTCAATTCCTTAACGTGTGTCAAATTACTCTTGTCGTTTACATAGTTTGATTTACACCAGTGTATGTAAGTAACAGGACTCTGGTCAAATAAGGCAGACAAATGAAATAAATGAAACTTTTCAGAAAGACAAGATACATAGAAAGTATCTGACCTAAATAAGGAAAAGATAGTTGGAGTACACTTTAATTTCATTCTGTCTTTCATGGCAGCTCTGTGATGTAGGTTTAATAATGGAAGTCATTGTGTTTGCTTCACTTTCCTGGTAAATCAACCTAAATTAATTTATTCCACTCATCCCAGTTGGAGAATAGCATTTTAAAAACATTCTTCAAAATAGATCAATTTTTAAAAGGAACAAAATGTTTATGACTGTTACCCTATTGACTTACGTGGCATTAAGTCCCACTGAATATCCCGAGTCTAGGCTACACTACGGAACCTTAATTACACAAAGGGAGACAGAAATAGCTGCTTTCACTCAACAGGCTGATCTCTGAGTTGAACTCCGAGACCAGTGTCCTAGAGAGCTTCAAAACAGCAGTAAGGTACGATCATGCTGCTTTTGCAAATATTGCTGCTGGCAAGTGGAAGGCAGATTTTCTCAATGGAGATCCCAGCTTGTGCAAAACCACAGTTTATACAAGTAAGACAATTCCACATTACTATACTGATAAGAGTTTCCATTTAGTGGAAACATATTAAGTTATTGGCCTGAGTCTCCATGGGAGCCCATGGTCCTCCAGATGTTAGATTCCATTTCCCTTCAGCACACTTGGCTACTGGCCATGGACAATATCTGGAAAACAACAACAACACACACATACCCAAGTGTTATGAGGAGGAAAATATGAGAACAAGCATGTTTTTGAAGCAAATGGGGCTCAAGTAAAATAAACAAAACATGACTATCATTAGCATGCAACCCAGCACAAGTTAAATGGAGAGTGCTTAGTGAAGGTTTGTCCATTGTGACAAATGGAGCAGTGGTCCATCTCAGCCTTAGACTACCCTCTGATCTATGCCCTCCTTTGACAACAATGCTCCTCTACATTCTACATACGAAAAACAGGACAATCTCTGTGCAAAATAATTAATGGACATAAATCAGACATCAGAACTGACAAGACATAGAAACCTGTTTCAGAACATTTCAGTCTACCTGGACACTCTTTATAGAATCTGAAAGTTGCAATTCTGGAAAATAAATACAGTACTACAAAACAATACTTCAAAAGGAAACAGCTGAAATAAAATACAGTATAAAGGAATGCTGGGAACCCATTTGAAAGGGTTAAATATATAAGGTTCTTAAATAAACTCTGCTGTTGTTATCCACAAACTGGTGTTCCCTTACTACAAAACCATTGTCACTTTATACAGAACAAGGCTTCAAAGGGGGGAAAACACTTAAAAGGACTGAACACCAATCAAGGGTCTAAAGTCGTTACTAAGTGTGAAATGCCCCAGTCGCTCACACAATTTGCAACGTGTGTCTTCTGCACTAACCAACCATTGTCACTTTGTCTATCTCTATCCCCTTTCACTGGGACCATATATAAATATTTGCCATATAGTCTCTCTCTTATGACAGAGGAGACTTGATCCACAAAAGCTCACATTAAAATATAGCAGCTAGTCTTGAAGGTTGTTATCACGTTTTCATCTCTCGTTTTTCGTGTTTTTTTTGTTGTCTGATACTGTATGCTCGCACAGACTAACATGGCTACCACTTCAAAAACTTTCTTCTCCACATTTCTTTTAGTAGAAATCATGCGTGAAAGAAAAAAGAAGATATTCCTAACGTTAAGATTCAAGGCTCACTTCCAGCTTCTGCATACATTTCTAATTTACTCCTGGTTAACGTTAACGAAGTTCCGCCAGAGGGAAAAGCACTGACTGAACCAGTCAAATATCATTTTTAAAGAGGGAGAGGAAAAACCCTGTTACAGAAACGCAACCTGGCGTACGTTTGCAAAATTTGTTATATTTGTTATGTTTTTATGTTGTAAGCCGCCTAGAGTGGTCGAAATGACCAGATAGGCGGGGTATAAATAAATAAATAAATAAACAAACAAACAAATGAAATTAAATAAAAATCTCTTTTGCCTAACATGCTTTGGGCATCTCTCTAAGATGGCGATTGCGGGGCACCTCTACCCAACATCTCTGCACCAGCTTTTAGGGCCCAGCGCGGGGTGGTGCTGTTTGTTGTTGTTTCCCTCTCGTGGTTGCTTCTTCTCGCCGTCGTTTGGCAAAGCCCTTCACCGCAGCCATTTTCTAAAGGGCTGGCCAGCGCACTCGCCAAACGGTAAACCTTGCGCTAAATAAAAGTCAAGACGAGAGATCTGCCGGCCGCCTCAAGGGCGGCAGCAACAACCATGAAGGAACCGTGACTACCGTGGGGTTCAAGCTACAGCGGATAGGCAAACCCGAAGGCTTCGTCGTCAGGCGCTGCGGAGCTGCCGCGTGACGTCATGAGCCCGCGACTGAGGGAAGGAAGGCCCCTCGGCTTTAGTATGCGACTTGGAGCGAACTAGTGCCTGAAGGAAGTTGCTGTGGGACTGGGATGGGGGCCGCGGCCCGGCGGAGGGGTGGTGAAAGGGTTCTGCCGACGAGCCGCGCTCCCAGCCGCCTGCCTGCTCCTTGAGGATCCGCGAGGAGACTCTCTTCGTGCTTCTCCTCCTTTCCCGCCAGTGGGCCCGGGTCGGCTTAGGATGTCTGGGCGGCTTTCCTCCCTTATCCGCTCCCTCCAGCCTGCCCTGTGGACTTTTCAGTGTTTCCCGTTTGCATTTCCTTCTCCTTCCCGCCCTTGATTAGGCTGCCAGGCCCGTTTGGCTGGTTCTGCCACCCCACCCACCGACCCCACTTCGCCTAGCTGCCTCAAGGGTCAGCGTTCCGCTCTCTTAAGACTCCTTGTTGGAGGTGGAGGCTCAGGTCTTCGTCGGCGTGCCAAGGAGGGCCGATCTTTGGTAAGATGTCTTCGGGACACAAAACAGGGAGCTTCCCCGCCTGGAAGCGGCACATCCTGGATGAACTGAGGAGGCGGGATCGGCTACAAAGGCAGGCTTTTGAAGAGATCATCTTACAATGTGAGCAGTGGTGTGGAGGGATCACTTCAAGGATTTCAGCTGCATTTGGAGGGTGGTGTCAAGAACACTACATAGCATGGCTTTAGATGTAACGGTTGTGAGGCTCTAGGCAAAGTATGTTAGCATTCCTTGCTTCTGGAATCTGGGCTCTCCTCAGCTTCTTGGGGATTCTGGCTTGGTTCTGGAATTTCAATACAATGGGTTGGGTTGTTTTTTAAAAGAGTTAGAAGTTGGGAGTTTTTGTTGATTAATAACAACATAGTTCCTCTTCCATTCTTGTACTTTATAGGTGCACATCTTAATGTGTTTAACTAGTGTTGTTAGTAGTTGAGGAAGCTGCTGATTAATAGTCTCAAATTTAATTGCTTTGTCATTGTACTTTTGCCTTTGATCTGGTTTGTGTGGAAGCAGCAGCCCAGGAGGAAACTATACCTCCAGTTCTCCTTTGAAAAAGCCTTGGTTAGTCTCCTACAACAGAGCAAGCAGTACGTACAGTGGACCCTTGACTTACAGACGGCTTGACTTACAGACTTTTTGACTTGAGAACCGCCTTCCAATACGGATTAAGTTCTCAAGTCAAGACCCCACTGTAGCTTATTTTCTGCTCTGTTAGCACAGCATAAATGTTGCCAGTAATCTAACTACTGGGAGACAACATTGATAGGAATCTCTTTTTTGTCTTTGCTCTGTTCTTAAATAAATATTTCATTCTGTCAGATAATAAGCTCCTGGAGAAGTCAGATTTCCATACAGTGCTGGCAGACAAACTACAAGTGGAAAAGTATGACTTACCAAGTCGGCATGAAATCAGGTAGTTGTTGAATCTGTTCTCATGCTGCTGATGATTATGCTTGTGGTGTAATTTCTTTCATGCTAGCAGTGTAGGATGATCTCTTTCTTTTGTGTAATTGTTAAAACAATTACTGTACTGGTAACTGTTATGATACCTAGTGCCTACACTCTGTATTTTCTTGGAAGTAATTTGTTCTCATTTCTATTGACCTTAGTAAGGTCACCATTCTGTTACATTACTAAGTCAAAGACAATTGCATACATTCTGATTGGCTCACTGTCATACTTGTTAAATGGATTATGTGATCATTTATACAACAGGGGAAGTGTGCCCAAAGTCTGACTCTTGCCCAGTTTCTCTTGCAATTTGAACAGGATATGAGCCTCTATGTGTAAATTATTGCATGCCATATTATAGAGATAATAGAGTTTAAAACGTGACAGTGCTTTCTGAAGTTTAGTGTATAAGATAGGATGTGTGTATGTGGTGTGTAAGGGGAATGGATGTATCCTGTGCTTTACATCCACAGAAAATGCAAGCAAAGAGATAAATCCAGTCACAACTAAAGCAGTTACCAAAGTGAGTGCTTTCCTTAGTGATCTGAAGACTAAATAGATTATTTCTTTATATCAGAGATAGCAACTGAAGCGCTCCAATTTTTTAACTTCAGTTTCTGTCTTTCTTTATTAGTATTAAATGGATGCACATGAAATATAGTCAAAATCAAGAATCAATTAAAATGTCAAGACAGTCAGATTGTTTTTGTCCAGAAGTAGTCAGTGCTTGAGGTGTGTGCAGAAACTTTTCCTCTACTTTAGCCCCTCATCCAGGGGGTCCGTGAAACGGGCGCTGTTCTTGTGCAACACTTCTGAAGTGAAGTATTTGCTGGTGCACACCGTTGCCCAGGAGATACCCAAATGAAATCTTAATGCTTTTTCACTCTTTGAGGAGACTCCTTCTGTGTCCTGTTATTGCTCGCCATTGGCTGTATTAGTCGTAGCTAATAGGAGTTACAGGCCGAAACTCACTATGCAGTGCCACAGGTGCCTAGCTCTCTTTTAAACAAGAACTGTTAATTAATTAATGACAATTCCTTAATGATATCAAAGTGAAAATGGAGAATTAAAGTTCAGGGATTGTACTGTTTATTGTAGTTAGTATGCAATCCTGTATGAATTCAAGAAAAAATGGAGTTTTCCTTTCTCATTCTCTGTAAAATCCCAGTCCAGGACATGATGGGGCAAGAAATGATGCTCATTTGCAAGAAATAGCCCAGCTGAGAATCAAACATCAAGAGGAACTAACCGAGTTGCACAAGAAACGTGGTGAGGTTAGGAACACCCTTTTTACCTATCAGTGTGTATTATTTCAAGAGTACTTTTCTGTGGTGGTGCAGAGATAACATACATATATATTACAGTATGTGTTTCTGTTGACCCTGGAATTCAACAAGTTAAAAGTTGCTGTCTGGAGGGAATTTTGATGTATTGGAAATCCAATGATCAAGTTACTCTTGTAGCTTTGAATTTTTGTTGCTATAAAATAGCTTAAAACACAATGTTGTAGACACAAAAGCTTGGATTATATTTTCATTTCAGTGCTTGTTTATTGTGTTAATTTGAGAGCTTGTTTATTGTGTTATTCTGAGAACTAAGACATGTCTTTTCTGCATTTTTCAAGTTTGTTCTGTATTTATAATGAAAGTATAGGATAGACCAAATTTAAACTGGAACTAACACCAAATTTAAATTAGAGTCAATTAGTACAGTATAAGCATTCAATTAAAACATGTCATCCTTGTTGTTTTTAATTTTAGTATTCCTTTATAATGGTGTTTAATTTAGATGTGGGGTGTATTCATTGGTTACTTTTTGTGTACTAATACTGTTGTGTTGTTATAATGATAGTATAGATGTATTTAAGAGAAAATAACAAAAGTTCTGATGGCATTGTTAGAATGACAGCTTTAGTAGTAGTAGTAGTAGTTTTATTTTTATGCCGCATTTCTCCCAACAAGGCACCCAAAGTGGCTCACAACATTAAAATTCACACGGTTTAAAAACACAATACAGTAGTGCCTCACATTACAACGTTAATTCGTTCCAGCGAACTTGCTGTAGAACGAAAACATCGTAATGCGAAAAGAAAAAACCCACTGAAAGGCATTAAAACCCGTTTAATGCGTTCCAAAGGGCTGAAAACTCACCAACCAGCAAAGATCCTCCATAGGGCAGCCATTTTCGCTGCATGTGCAGCGAGGAATCTGTCCCAGAAAACAGCGGGGGGGATTTTGTTTACCCGGCGGCCATTTTGAAACTGCTTATCAGCTGTTGGAAAACGTCATTTTGTGAAGAATCAGTTCCCGAAGCAGGGAACTGATCATCGCAAAGTGAAATTTCCCCATAGGAAACATCATTTTGCGATCGCAAAAAGTTCATCGTAATGCGGTTTCGTCATTAAACGGGGCAATCGTAAAGCGAGGCACCACTGTAAGTTAAATATTAAAAAATAAATTAAACAATATATGATTTAAAATACAACTAAAAGATTAAAACTTGGAAACAAAAAGAGTAAAATTATCTGCTAAAATGGGGTTCAGGGATTCAGTTATAATTGTGAAAAACCTGCTTGAAGAGATGGGTCTTCAGCTTTTTTTGGAAGGATAAAAAGGAAGGAGCCATCTCGATCTCCCGAGGAAGAGCGTTCCATAGCCCCGGAGCTGCCACAGAGAAGGCCCTCTCCCGTGTCCTCACCAGCTGTCCTTGTGCTGGCAATGGGACCAAGACGAGGGCCTCCTCCACTGATTTTAATGGCCGAGAAGGCATGTATAGGAATTATTATGACATAACCTTTCATGCAGTAGAATGCCTTTTATCAGATATATGTGATGTCATGCTGATCTTGTAGCTGCATATACACAGGAATGTCAAAGGGGGAAGCAATGAGATCAGATGTGAATAAAATGTGGAAAATAGACTGTGACTAATTTATTTTCTTCATTAATGTAGTTTTTTTCTCTCCTTGTAGTTGGCCCAGTCTGTTATCGATCTGAACAACCAAATACAACAAAAGGACAAAGAAATGCAGCTAAATAATGCAAAGTGTGTAGATTTATTATTGTTATCAGAATTTGATCTAATTGCGTGGTGTCAGGCTTTTGATTTCTGGTTCAGTTCTCACCATACTGGTTCCTTCTCTTGAAGGATTGCAGAATATTTGCAAAAGATATCTGAAATGGAGACAGAGTGCCAGGATCTGCGCAACAAGTTACAAGATCTTGAACGAGCCAATCAAACTCTCAAGGATGAATATGATGCTCTCCAGATCACCTTTACTGCTCTTGAAGAAAAATTAAGAAAAACTACTGAAGACAATCAAGAGCTGGTAACACGCTGGATGGCAGAGAAGGCTCAAGAAGCTAATCGGCTCAATGCAGAAAATGAGAAGGATTCAAGGTATGATTTATTTATTTATTTATTCTATTTATACCCTGCCTATCTGGTCATTTCGACCACTCTAGGCGAAATGACCATCATGATATGATGTTGACACCTGTTCTGAACAAACCATTTTAGAAAGGATATGGAATGGAAGCCCTAGGCCTGATTTTCCCCCCATTCTTTTCTCCTGCAGCTCTTATTTCATCTCACTGTGAATTTGTGTTTCATCAAGATTTTGAACCTTAATGGCTAGGTGCAGTATATTTTGATCTCAGTATCATTACTGGCTATGTTTGCATGACATAGTATTCGCAAAGGATGTTTCCAAAGCTAACGTTGATCTGAATGCAGAGCAATTTAAAACTGACTTGTACTATACAGCTTGTGTCTGTTGAAATAGTCCCAATTTTCCCCATGAATAAACTGGTGGATGGAGCATACAGATTGCCTAATTTCCTGTTATAGGCATGCTTATGTAGACGTAAGCTGCTCCAGGTAAGACTTCCCTTGAGAGAGAGCATTCCAAAGACAAGAGATAAAATAATTCAAAGATTGCAGAAATATTGAAATAACAGGTCCTCCAGTTGGCACTGCAGTGAGCATGCTGAAGTTAGCAAGATGTTTGAGCATCTTGTCTCTCGTTCCTGGATTTGAACCTGCTTGAACAGTTGATAAACCCACACAAAGAATGTTTACAAATACTGACAGAGTTTTTACTGGATTGTGTTGCATTTTGGTTTCTCTTGTAGAAGACGACAAGCTAGGCTTCAGAAGGAACTAGCAGAAGCCGCAAAGGAGCCACTACCTGTTGAACAGTAAGCATTCAGTTGGCTGATTCTTCCCTTATGATGGCATGTGCCAGTTTCTGGCAGAAAATATGAACCTGCAGCAAAGACTGATCACTAGTTTGATTGGTAGATATGCTTTTAAAAATTCTTATCTAGCATTTTGTACTGAATATATATAATGTTTAATTTTTCTGTTACATCTGAATCCTAAACTTCCAAACCAGCTAAATTTGGAGACAGCTAACTTTGTCATGAAAATGTGATTATGACGAGGATGAGATTGAACTGGGAGAAAAAAAAGTCACTGGTGTGTGAACATTAGAAATGAGAATGGGTTAGGAGACGGCAAAACAATATAGAATTGTGTGATGGACGTCTGTTTGTACTAGAGCAGAATCTAATGTAAGGAATACCCTTTTGTGGTCTTCAGTTCCCCTGCCTGAGCTGGAAAATCCTTTGCACCATGTTTTCAGCAGCCAGAGAAAGCTGCAACGGGGAGAAGTTACATTTCTGACATTTCAGTGAGCTTCCTATTGAGTTTAGGCCAAATTTTTAGCATGTAGCATGCTTTCTTCCTTTAGCTGCCTCTCTTGAAAAGCAGAAAGGTTTCACTGCATTTTCCACCTCTGTGTTTTAGAAATCTAGCCGGTTGCTTCTTGCTACTTATCCAAACATAGGGCAGGGCTTGGCTTTTGCCCTGGTAATTTAACACCTTCCTCAGGCTGTCTTAAACCTCACCCCAGACTTCTCTGGGCTGTGCTTGCATTGAGGATTTTTTAAAAAGTTAGTACATGCCTAGTAGTGCATATACGTCGCCCATCTGAATTTTTCATGTAGAATCAAGACTTCTACCTTCTTTGAAAAAAAAGAAGGTATACTGTGGCTATACTCATTATCCTTTTTGTAAAACAAAAAGGTGAGTTGGGGAAAAATGAGATACCATTTATTGATACTGGTACATATGGACGAATCACTTATTTGCAAGAATAACTTGCCTGGATACCTTTGAAGTCACCTTCATACAAATTTCCCTTCTGACCACTTTCTTATAGTGCACAGAGTTGTCAAATTGTCACATTCAACAAAATGTATGGAGATGCCTCAGCTAGAATTCCAAAGCCTGAAACTGGTCAAAAAGAATGGGCAACCCGCCTTTTGAATTGCATCTATCTTATCTAGTTCCTTAAGGGAGATTATACAGGAGCAAGGCCAACTAATGAATCACACAACAAATACTCTTCAAACAAAATGTGATAGAACATCAGAAAGCAAAATAGTAGTGATGTTGTCATTTTTCTTGGGAGACTAATACTCCTGTCACTCCTCAGCACTGTGTGCTGAAAAGGATGATAGTGAAATTCTGTGATTAAAAACCTGCAGAATTTCTCTCTCTCTCTCTCTTTTGTTTTATTTTGTTTTTGGCCTATAAAGGTAAGCAAGCTTTAAAATGCCAGGATCTCTTTTAATTTTGAAATGATTCACAAGTCACTATCTGTCCTATCCCAGGGATGATGATATTGAAGTGCTTGCAGATGAAACAGCTGAGGCAGCTGATGAGACCTCTCCGGTGCGGACTGTCACACGGACATCCAGGTAAGAAGTGGGATTGGGGAAGACAAACTGATCGTTTTTTTCAAAAAAAAGTGCAGCAAAGGTTTTATTGAGTAGCTGAAAAAAAATACTCGTAGTGGTCCTTAATGGTGCAAGGCTTTTAAAAGTTCCTTCTGTGGAAAGGGGACAGCACTATAAGAATATATAGAAAGGTTTTTATATTTTTCCTGTGTGGGTGTACTAGTCATTTCATTGACAAAAATGCCAAGAAAATATATTTATTTATTTAACTTATATGCCGCCCACTTTAATCAAAGGCCTCTAGGTGGCTTACAACAATTAAAATACAATTAAAAAGATAATACAGTACAATTAAAATATATACTCTTAAAAATTGCCATCAGGACCTACAGTTGATATTATTTTAATTAAAAGCTTTCTGGAACAGGAAGGTTCTAGCCTGGTGCCAAAATGTCATCAGTGTCAGCGCCAGACGAATCTCAGTTGGGAGGGCATTCCATAGTCTGGGGGCAGCTGCCGAAAGGGCCCTTTGTCTACAAGCTATCCCTCTCACCTCCTTGAGGGATGGCTCTTTCAAAAGGGCCCCCTGGCTATATCTTAACTGCTGGGTAGGCTCATATGATAAATAATCTTAATAATACTCTTAGAACTGCAGAGGCATAGTGGGGAACTGAACTCACAACCAGATGCCTAAACCACTGAGCTATCTAGCAGTTATATACTAGTAATGTATTCTAAGTGGGAGTGTAATGAGAATTCCACGGTTGTATGCTGTCAAGTATTCAACCTTGCTGTACTCTATACCTTGACAGTCCCAGAAGGAACTGCCAGAGATTGGAATTGATGATGATGATATTATTGTTGTTGTTGTTGTTGTTGTTGTTGTTATTAAACCTCTGTGAGACAATTGACCAGTGCATCTAGTTCATTCAGAAAGTTATCTTAGTCATAATACAAGTCTGAATAGAGCTCAGAGATATTTATTGTTAAAAAAAGTGAAGATTTCAAAAATTATTGATGTATAATCATTAAATATGTACAGCATTAACAATCAGTGGCATTCAGAGCCAAGAGACAAGGAAGTCTTACACAAATGCACATTAGCTCTAAAATAGAAGGTCAGGTGTATGTTGGGCTGCCAAGATTTTAGAGAGTTGTATTCACATGGTTTTGGCAACATTTTATCTTTTGAGGAGTGTTTCAGGGTACCTGTACAGTGATGCCTCGCAAGACGAATTTAATTCGTTCTGCGGGTAATGTTGTCTTGCAAAAAATTTGTCTTGCGAAACGTGTTTTCCCATAGGAATGCTTTAAAATCTAATTAATGCATTCCTATGGGCAAAAAAGTCAGAACAAAGTCAATTTTGGTTTACAAAGGGTTTATTAAGTGCTCTTTAAAGCCATACATAGTGTGCAGATGATTTAAAAAATTTCAATCAAAATAACTTTAAACATCATAGAAAAGCATTTAAAAATCAGCAAACACAAGACAGGAACAAAAAACATTAGTCTTGCGAAGCACTGCCATAGGAACATTTTTCTTGCGAGTCATCAACCCCATTGTCAAATCCATTTGTCTTGCAAGTTTTTTGTCACCATTGTCAAATCCATTTGTCTTGCGAGTTTTTTGTCCTGCGAGGCACCACTGTACTTGAAGTGTATGCCCTGCTTTATGTATGTTATTTTTTCTTGTATCATTGTTTGGAACTTGATGAAAGAATCCAGAAGTTCTTGGTACGGTCACCCTATTCAGGGCATCAGATACAAAAATGCTTGCAGTGTCTTTTCCTGTGTTGAGGAGGAAGCTCTGTAACACAAAGGAAAGACACAGAGTTCAGTTAGAGACCTTATTTTGAGCGTAGTATGCTAAAATCTTGTGAGTGGATGGTTAGCCTTGTTATGCTGTGTAAATCTATATTGTCTGTTTCCTTATGTTTCATATCCAAATCTTATTCTGAAGATTTTGTTTGGCTGGGTTTTGTCTTCTAGTAAGAGAATTTAGCCAAGCATCTACAAAGCTCTTCTTGGTCCTTGTGTTACTGTGAAAAACTGTACCTTAGCAAGGTCACTAGTAAAGTTTTAGTAGGGTGACATGTGAAAAAAGGGATCTGAGAATACCCAGTCAAGTATCCAGCCAAAAATACATATGTCATATCTTAGGTAAAGTATCATTCTAAGGCATAAAAATGTGCAACAGTTGCCACTTTGACAGGACACTCTTTTATAATTTCATAACAACTCATAACTTGTTATCCTTATGTTGTAAGCCGACTAGAGTGGTCGAAATGACTAGATAGGCGGGGTATAAATACAATAAATAAATAAATAATAAATTTTTTTGACCAGTGATTATTCAGTTGAATCCCTCTCAAAGGTTGCAATCCTGGTTGCAATCTAGTGTTATGGACAAATAGCCACACAGAATGTGGATTATGGCGCAATATTAATACAGTTAATATTGAGACAGCACCTTGCACAAATGCTGCATGGAGGCAAACTGGTACTGTGTGTTTAGAAATTAGTGAATTTTTCTTTTTTCCTTAAATGTATGTATATTATTTTTATTTTATTGTATTACATATGATTATGATTTGATTATATTAAGTTACACGTTTTTTCTTTTTTCTTTTTTCCTTTTTCCCTTACTTCCTCTCCTTCTTCCTTTCTTCTTTCTCTTTTCCCTTTCCTTCTTTGCTCCCTCCTCTTTTCCCTTTTGTCATGGAATGGAAGGCCTGCCCCCCCAGCGAGGGGCCCCAAAACATCTCAGTGGTCACGGGTAGGGGACGATACGGCGTTGCCGCCGTCCCTGCTCATGTTAGAAGAACAATGAACCGATGCTTAAAACCTGTTCATTGTTCTGAGACAGTGTCCAACCCCCAGTATCAAGGTAGCCAGTCCAGTCGGCCATCCACTCTGCGCCTGGTGTTGTTGAATGCTAGGTCTCTATCTAACAAGGCTCAAGTAATTTACGATCTTATCTTGGAGCAGGATGCAGACCTGGCTTGCATAACCGAAACATGGATTGGCGGAGAGGGGGGTCCTCCCCTAGCACTCATCTGTCCGCCCGGTTATGCTGTCCAACACCAGGGTAGACTGGAGGGTCGGGGGGGGAGTTGCTATTGTCTATAAATCCAGCTTGGAGGCTGCTAGGCGCTCCTCAGTGGTAAAACCAGGTCTCAAGGCTCTCCACATGTCGATTGGGGCCAGGGATGGTATTGGGATCTTGCTGGGTTACCGTGCTCCCCGTGACCCAGCCATTTCCCTACCGGAGCTGGTGGACTTTGTCTCCGCGGCACTGTTGGATTCCCCGAAGCTATTGGTTTTGGGGGATTTCAACGTGCATGCAGGGGCAGAGACTTCCGGGCCAGCTCTTGAGTTCTTGGAGACCATGGCCTTCTTGAACATGTCCCAACATGTCAA